TATTGTAGAGACGAGGTCTCACCAAGTTGCCCGGGCAGGTCTCCGAATCCGTGGGCTCAGGCAGTTCTTTCGCCTCGGCCTCCCAAATTGCTGAGATTACATGCTGAGCCACCGAGCTCGGCCAGATTTATTTTTCTAAAATGTACCGTGATATTTTTCACACAATTGTCAGTGCTATAGAATTGCTAATAGGAAAATTATTTAAGGGTCTTGTTTCTTTGGTACTAATTTTTTTGGGTTTTTTTGTTTTTTAGTTTTTGAGTTGGAGTCTCACTCTGTCACCCAGACTGGAGTGCAGTGGCGATCCTTCCACCTCAGCCTTCCAAGTAGCTGGAACTACAGGTGCGTGCTACCACGCCCGGCTAGTTTTTGATTTATTTTAGAGATGAGGTCTCGCCAAGCTGCCCAGGTGGGTCTCGAACCCCCGGGCTCAGGCAATCCACTCATCTCAGCCTCCCAAAGGCATGGAATTACAGGCTGAGCCACTGAGCCTGGCTTTGGTTTCTAACTTAGGCAGAATGTTATTTTCGTTTTTTTGGGAAAACTTTTCGGTATGAATTTTTTCAAAAAGAGCAAGATTAAGAAACCTTGTTTAATGAAAAACTAGAATTTACATTATATTAATAAGTTGCATCTTCATGTTTAGAAGAAACCTTTGTCAGCCAGGCTTGGTGGCTCAACCTGTAATCCCAGCACTTGGGGAGACTGAGGTGAGTGGATTGCCTGAGCCTATGGGTTCAAGACCAGCCTGGGCAACTTGGAGAGACCTAGTCTGTACAATAAATCAAAAATTAGCTGGGCATGGTAGTGTGTGCCTGTAGTTCCTGCTACTTGGAAGGCTGAGGCGGAAGGATCACTGGAGCCCAGCAGGTCGACTCTGGGTGACTGTGAGCATGCCACTGCACTCTAGCCTGGGCGATGGTGTGAGACTCCAATTCAAAAAAAAAAAAAGAAAAGAAAAGAAAGAAGAAATCTTTGTCAATTGTGAGTAGCCTGGGTTACTATCTCTCCCAGTTCATGTGAGTTTTGGTCCATTGCCTGAATTGCATGATAGAGAATGGAGCTGGGCGAGGTGGCACACACTCGTAATCCCAGTGACTCTGAAGGCTGGGGCAGGAGGATCCCTTGAGCCCAGAAGTTCTAGGCCACAGTGAGCTACGATCCCGCCACTACACTCCAGCCTGGGTGACAGAGTGAGTTCCTGTCTCTAAAAAAATCTTAACTGGGCACGGTGGCTTGTGCCTGTATTCCTAGCTACTCAAGAGGCTCAAGTGGGAGGATCTCTTGAGCCCAGGAGTTCAAGACTGCAATGAGCTGTGATCACACCATTGCACTCCAGCCTGGTCAAGACAGGGCGAGATCCTGTCTCTTTAAAAAAATAAAAAGAGAGAATGAAGCAGATTGATATTGGGATTTTGAAAACAATGGATTGCTGAGCTTGTTCTTTTTATTTCTATGTATACCTTGTCTTTCCTTTTCCCCAAATGTAGACGCTTGCATGCACACGCAGACAAACACCTTATTTCTGACAGGTGTTGAGCATGGATAAGACTCTGCTGTGCCCCAGATTTAGGCCTAAGCTGATGCTCCCATGGGGACTTTTTTCATACTGTTCTTATTGGAATAAAGGAAACCAAGTTTGAGGTTGTGTACTTGAATCAGAAGTAAACAACTAGAACCTGTGTTTCCAAGCTCATGGGTGGAGTTGTGTAGACCTTTGGTGCACTTATATTGATGGTCTGTTTTGGTTTCTGGGAGTTCACTAAGCAAAAAGGCAATGACCATAACCATTTTTAGTTAAGCTCTGGCTAAAGAAGAGTTTAGGTTTGGCCATCTTCATATTCCAATTTCAAGTTCACAGTCTAGAAAAAATGGGTTTTCTTACTAGCTTGGTTTGGGATGTAAGGACTAAATTTAGCTATTTCTAGACCAGCCTGGGCAACTTGGCAAGACCTTATTTCTACAATAAATCAAAAATTCAGCTGGGCATAGTGGTTTGCTCCTGTGATTCCAGCTACTTGAGAGGTTGAGGGGGAAGGATCACCTAAATCTAGTAGGTCGAGGCTGCGGTGGCTGTGAGTGCGCTACTGCACTTCAGCCTGAGTGACAGTGAGACTCCAACTCAAAAAAATAAGTAAGTAAATAAAAATAAAAAATAACTTTAGCTATTTCTTTTCTTTTCTTTTTTTTTTGAGTCGGAGTCTCATTCTGTCACCTAGGCTGGAGTGCAGTGACACGCTCATGGGCCACCGCAGCGTGGATCTGCTGGGCTCAGGTGATCCTCCCGCTTTAGCCTTCCAAGTAGCTGGTACTACAGGTGTGTACCACCATGCTTGGCTAATTTTTTTTTTTTAATTTATTTTAGAGACAAGGTCTTACCAAATTGCCTAGGCTGGTCTTGAATCCCTGGACTCAGGCAGTTCTCTCACCTCTGCCTCCCAATGTGCTGAGATTATAGGTGTGGGCCACCGAGCCCGGCAAATTTAGCTATTTCTAACAATACTAGGAACTAACCAAAATCTAAAAAAAATACATACTTATATTTGTTATTAGGTCCCATATGCATATCTGACAGCTTGACTCTGTATCAGAACATGTCCAACTATTATTTCTTATCTCTAAACTGGAATGACTTCCTTAAGGAGCTGTTGTGATTAATCAAAATCATAATAGACATAAAGGTGCTTTATCAACTGTAGAGTGTTAAGCACACTTAGGTTCTTGATAATGAATGTGAGATGGTGTCTCTATCTTGAAATAGGATTTGTTTTAATCAGGTATGGTAAAATGACAGATGTGGAGATAACTGCCTTTGAAAAAAAGAGTTTCTATACTTCTGAAGAGAAGGAAGCATACCACACAATGCAGGGCTATGTGAGGAAATATCAGGACTGGTCAGAAGGCAAGATAGGAAAGCATGGCTCAGAGCCTTAGTTTCTGTGGGAAGGAATGGGTGAGTAGGGTAGGCAAGCTAGATTAAATTTAGGACAGGATAGTTTGAATAATTTCGTTGGGTTCTGGGCTATAGGACTGGTCCCTAGTTGTCATGTATTTGGTCCTGGGATGATTTAGAGAAGAGGAAATAGGAGCTTGGTTTATGAGACTTAGATAGAGGAGGTGGTTGATAACAAAGGCTTTGGATTGATTGGGTTACATATGAAAGGTGTGTTCCCCAGGCAAGTTTGCTGGTCTAAAAATTAGACCTGAGAAGGCAGAATTAGCTCTAGGATTAGCAAGACCCCAAAGATATCATCATAAAACACAGAAAATAAAATAACATGATTACTACAGTGTCCATCATCTGTAATTACAACATTGATAGCATTAGGAGCAAATGTGTCATAAAATTGTTGCTGACATTATTTTTGTTTTCCTTTTGTAGGAGGAAGAGGAAGAGGAGGAATTAGTGGTAAGAACTGTCTCAGGTTTGGAACCGTCTCAGTAAAAGCAGAAAGTTTGAACTTCATGAAACTCTAAGGACATTTTAAGGAGTTTTTACTTGACACCTTGGAGAAGATGGGGGTGGAATAAGCATTACTACTTTCTGAATGGTAGAGTATTTGGGGGTGTGCGCCTGGGAAGCTGAGGCTATTCTGGATTTGGAGTTTCTTCAGTTCTGGTGCCAGGGAGCAGACAGCATCTTAAGGGCCTGGCACTCAATAATCTACTATTTGTGGTTTAATGAAGAACTCTGAAGGAACCTTTCCTAGATGGTCCTTCCCCGTGTTAGCATTGCCTTTCTAGCTGGGTAACTGGGGTACATAGACCTGGTTCTCAGACAGGGGGATTTGAAATTTCAGACATGACATCCCAAAATGTGTTAACAAGTAGGGCCTCCTATAGATCTACTTGAAGTTTGGCCAGGTTTCCTTTACCACCTTGTTTTTCAGATAGGACTGAGGCTTTCAGTGCATACTGGCAACCTTGGAAGGCAGGAATGTGAAACTTATCCCTACTACTTAGCATCAGAATTGAATGGGAGACCCCATTCTGCCATTTCTGGCGGCAGTGTGGCTCTGCCAGCTGGCCTTCTGCACGGTAATTCAGAGGCAGCTCCTTGCTTTGGTGGTTGTATTAATCAAAGCATATGTGTTTGGTGGGTCTTCTCTAAAACCCCCATTTTGTTCTTTTTCTGTTTCTCCGTCAGGATCCCCTAACAACAGTGAGAGAGCAATGCGAGCAGCTGGAGAAATGTGTAAAGGCCCGGGAGCGGCTAGAGCTCTGTGATGAGCGTGTATCCTCTCGATCACATACAGAAGAGGACTGCACAGAGGAGCTCTTTGACTTCTTGCATGCAAGGGACCACTGCGTAAGTCAATCTGAAGTCAGGAAGGAGAAAGCTTAACAGTGGCCAGGGAAGACTGGTGCTGACACCCTTTCCATGCTAGGGGAAGGCCCATCAATGAGCATTTATTGTGGGTGCAATATATGCAGGTACTATGCCAAGCATTTTACATGAATATTCTTACCTAATCTTTACCACTTCCACTGGAGATAGGTATCACCCCCATTTTACAGAGAGAAACTGAAGTTCAGAGAAGAAAAATGGACATCTCTACTTGTACTGCTAAACAGTGGGGAAGCTAGATTTTATACTCTTAAATAACAGACTTTTCTTAAAATAATTTATATCCTCCAATATGTCTAGTTCATAGTAGTTGATCTAAAAAGGATTTTTTTGTTTGTTTGTTTGTTTGAGTCAGAGTCTCATTCTGTCACCCTGGCTGGAGTGCAGTGGCACACTTACAGCTACTGCAGCCTCAGCCTGCTGGCCTCAGGCAATCCTGCCTCAGCTTTCCACATAGCTGAAACTACAGGTGCGTGCTACCACACCTGCCAGGTTGAGGCTGTGGTGGCTGTGGGTGACAGAGTGAGACTCCAACTCAAAAAAAACCCATGTTTACACAAAAACCTGTTTACAAATGCCTGTAGAAGCATTATAATAGCCAAAAAGTCAAAACAATATAAATGTCTATCAACTGATAAATGGATAAAGAAAATGTAGTATGTCCATAAAATGGAATATTACTTGACAGTAAAAAAATCAAATCATCTTTCCTCAGAAAATGAAACACGTAGTTACTATATGATCTAGGAATTCCACTTCTGGGTATGGTATATCCCAAAAAACTGAGAGTAGATGCGAACAGATGCTTGTATATTCTGTTCATAGCAGCATTATTCACGGTAACCAAAAGATGAAGACAGCCCAAGTGCCCTCCATTGATGAGTGGATATACAAAATGTGCTATATACATACAATGGGAAATATTCAGCCTTAAAGAGAAGGAAACTCTGACACACACTGCGACCTTGATGAACCCTGAGGACATTATGCTAAGTGAAATAATCTAGCCACAAAGGGCAAATATCGTATCATTCTACTTTCGTGAGGTGCCTAGAATAGTCACATTTGTAGAGACAAGTAGATTGTGGTGGCCAGGAGCTGGGGGAGGAGAAAATGGAGAGTTATTATTTCTTTCTCTTTTTTGGCATGCTCATGGCCACCCCAGCGTTGACCTGCTGGGCTCCGGCGATCTTTCTGCCTTAGTCTTCCAAGTAGCCAGAAATACAGGTGCACACCAGTGTGCCCGGCTAATTTTTGATTTATTGTAGAGACGAGGTCTTGCCAAGTTGCCTGGGCTGGTCTCGAACCCATGGGCTCAGGCAAATCCACTTGCCTCGGCCTCACAAAGTGCTGAACCATTGCGCCTCACCTCCTTTCTCTTTTTTTTTTTAAAGTTGGAAGCCCAGCACAGTGGCTCATGCCTGTAAACCCAACACTTTGGGAAGCAAAGTCAAGAGGATTGCTTGAGCCCAGGGGTTTGAGACCAGCCTGGGCAACATGGTGAGACCTCGTCTCTACATTAAATAAAAAAATTAACCAGGTGTGGTTGCATGTTCCTATCGTTGCATTACTTGCAAGGCAGAAGGATCACCTGAGCCCAGCGGGTCGAGGCTATGGTGGCTGTGATGGTGCCACTGCACTCCAGCCTGGGCAACAGAGTGAGATTCCAACTCAAAAAAAAATTGGGATTTTACTCTGTCACCCAGGGCAAAGTACAGTGGCATGATCACACCTCATCAAGCTTAAAACTTCTGGGTTCAAGTGACCCTCCTGCCTCAGCCTCTTGGGTAGCAGAATTACAGGCACATGTCACCACACCCTGCTAAGTTTTATATTTTTTTAGTAGAGATGAGGTCTCGCTGTGTTGCCCAAGTTGGTCTCAAACTCCTGGGCTCAAGAAATCTACCCACCTCGGCCTCCCAAAGTGCGTGGTCAAGTTATTGTTTAATAAGTATAGAATTTCAGTTTAGGAAGATTAAAACTTTCCCAAGATTGAAAGCTCTGGAGATTGAGGGTTGCCGAACAATGAGTATACTCAATACCATAAAAATAATACAGTTGGTAATTTTATGTTATGTGTTTTTTACCAAAATTTTTAAAAAAGGAATAAAGTACTGAACATGCTACAACATTGATAAACCTTACAAATATGCTACATACCAAGGAAAAAAGCCAGTCACAAAGTCACACATATTGTATGATATCATTTATTTATTTTATTTTATTTTTTGAGTCTTGAGTTTAACTCTATCACCCAGGCTGGAGTGCAGTGGCACACTCCTGGCCACCACAGCCTTGACCTGCTGGGCTCAGGCAATCTTCCACCTCAGCCTTCCAAATAGCTGGAATTACAGGCACATACCACCATGCCCAGCTAATTTTTTGATTTATTGTAGAGATGAGGTCTTGCCAAGTTGCCCAGGCTGGTCTCGAACCCATGGGCTCAGGCAGTCCTCTCACCTCAGCCTCCCAAAGTGCTGGGATTATAGGCAGGAGCCACTGCGCCCAGCCTGACCCCCATGTTTAAGGTCATTGTGGTCTCCCCTCCCCCCATTTTGTTTTCCTAGTAGTATTTCCCACTATCAGAAGTTACCTTATTTATGAGTATATTTCTTTCATTACTCGGCAAGTTCCATAAGTGACAGATGTCTTGTTGTACCTGGCATATAATAGATGTTCTGTAAATATTTGGTGAATTAATACTTAATATCACTATGATGGGAGATACTTGTTTCTTCAGGAAGATAGGAGAGACAGATTTGTGTGGGGATAGGGGCTTGTATAAAGAAATGACATGTTGACTTAAGAGCTAAAAGAAGAATAAAAGATGAAAATGGGAGAGTTCTAGGTAGAAGGGACTCAGGTGCAGGTGTGGGTGTGTAAGAAGAGGAGTAGTGTGACATTAAAGCTACCAGTTGATGACATCCTTTTCTTTTCCCCATCTAGGTGGCCCACAAACTCTTTAACAGCTTGAAATAAATGTGCAGAGTTGTTCACACCAGCCTTCATCATCTGGGCATCAGGATATTTCCTTATGGTTTTGAATATGCCATTTGTTTCTATTTGTGTAACTAAGTTCATATGAACCTTATGGATTTTGGCTTAGGCAAATAGCTTCTATGTAATTAGCAGTGATTCCATCTTAATAAAGTTCTGTGACCTGAAGACCTGCCTTCTGTCCTTTTTAAAAACATTTTTGAGCTGAGCTCAGTGGCTCAGCCTATAATCCCGCGCCTTTGGGAGGCTGAGGTGAGTGGGTTGCCTGAGCCTGCGGGTTCGAGACCGGCCTGAGCAGGCGAGACCTCATCTCTACAATAAATAAAAAAAAAAATTAGCCAGGCGTGGTAGTGCGCTCCTGTAATTCCGGCTACTTGGAAGGCTGAGGCGGAAGGATCGCCAGAGTCCAGCAGGTCTAGTCTGCGGTGGCCAGGAGTGGCCACTGCACTCCAGTCTGGGCGACAGAGCGAGACTCCAACTCAAAAAAAAAGGGAAAAAAAAAAAAGGAGATGTTTGGCCAGCCGTGGTGGCTCAGCCCCCAATCCTAGCACTTTGGGAGGCCAAGGCGAGTGAATTGCCTGAGCCCATGGGTTCGAGACCAGCCCGAATAAATTGGCGAGACCTCGTCTCTACAATAAACCAAAAAACCCTCAATTCTTCAACCAGCTCATCTTTGACAAAGGCCCCCCCCAAAAAAAAAGAAAAAAAAAAAAAGCCGGGTGTGGTAGCGCCCCTGTAGTTCCAGCTACTTGGAAGGGTGAGGTGGAAAGATCACCTAAGCCCAGCAGGTTGAGTCTGTGGTGGCTGTGAGTGTGCCATTGCACTCCAGCCTGGGCGACAGAGTGAGACTCCAACTCAAAAAAAAAAGAGGTGCTCACAGGCTGGCCATGGTGGCTCAAGTCTGTAATCCCAGCACTTTGGGAGGCTGAGATAAGGAGGATTACTTGATAGTGAGGCCTTTTCCCTACAAAAAATTAATTAGCTGAGTGTGGTGACTGAGACAGGAGGATTGCTTGAGCCCAGGAGTTTGAGACCAGCCTGGGCAACATAGGGATACCTTGTCTCTACAAAAAATAGCCAACTGTGGGACTCACACCTGTAGTCCCAGCAACTTGGGAAGTTGAGGTGGAAGGATCACCTGAGCCCAGGACTGTGAGGTTACAATGAGCTATGGTTGTGCCACTGCATGCCAGCCTGGGTGATACAGTGAGACGCTGTCTCTAAAATAGACACACACACAGCCATATGTGACTAGTGGTTGCCATAGTAGAGAATGGAGGTCTAGCAGTAGTGATTCAACCGCCTGAGTGGTAATTGAGGGAAGCAGGTCCTGTAGGCTTTGGAAAACTAGCCTGCTGTTGCTATGTGGGAATGCATGCCTAGTGTTGCCAGATCTCTTGTTAGAAAGTCAGTCATACAAGTTTTATGTGAAATATCTCTACTTTTATTGATTTATTAAAAAAATTTTTTTTTCTAGCCAGGCTCGGTGGCTCAGCCTATAATCCCGCACCTTTGGGAGGCTGAGGTGAGTGGATTGCCTGGGTTCAAGACCTGCCTGGGCAACTTGGTGAGACCTCATCTCTATAATAAATCAAAATGAGCTGGGCGTGGTAGCATGCGCCTGTAGTTCCA